CTTTATATTAAACAGACGATACGATTATCGACATCAAGAAGACTGGTTTGTGTGACTATTCCGGTGGCCCGAAGGCACTCGGCATGGAGTCCGGGGTCATCCCCGACGAGGACATCACCGCCTCCTCGTCTTACAACCAACAGAGTGTCGGACCTCAAAACGCGCGGTCAGTTTCCCGGCATTTAATTAAATAAATAAATATTATATCAAATTTTGAGAGATCAGGGAATGGTGTGGACAGCACAGGGATGTGATGTGCATAAACCCAGTGCATGCTTTATACTTGTTTATGCCATTCAAAACTCGCCACTTTTGTATACTCTGGTTATCCCTATGTATTGAAATGATGCCCAAAATATTTTTGCACAATTCATAAACAGAAATGCATTTAATATATTATATGATTAGTCCAGAAAAGACGCCGTAATTGAAAAATTGTGAACAAATTGACAGAAACATAATTTTCATAAGAATTTGCGATTAAAACTAATGACTAAAAATGTGACAAAACATTGCAATTTCACTGATGAAGGNATGGCAAAAATAAAGGAGTAATTCATTGAAGAATATAATTGAATATAATTTACAGAATAATTCATTCGCTTATAATTAGCAATAGATATAAACGTTGAGTATATATAAGCGTCCAAAACAAACAACACATAAACACAATAATCAATTAACTGCAGAGAGAGAGAGAGAGAGAGAGAGAGATGCTATAAATGTGATTCCAAGTGATTAATTCATTTGCAAAACCAAATTGTTTTAAACAATTTATCAAATTATATAATAAAAGTTGTTGTTTATATTGAAAATTGTGCGAAACAGTGTGTTTTGACGCCAGAAAACACCAGTTTTTACATTTAATGTTTGTGTCATTTTTTATCTTAAAAAACAAACGAAACTAAAAAGTTTTTGGTGTTTGAATCGACAATTTTCTCTCTTAACCTAACTGTGCATAAGAGGAGACTTTAGGCACCGATGATAGGGATGTGAAGATGAGGAGAGAGGGAGACGACTGTAAAGTCTCAAAAGAGGACCCATTCTTATCGCTATAAAACTTATTTCCATTTACTGTTTGCTCTCATGATTTCAATACCAAAACATCGCTTTTGCATTCAAAAGTCTAGAGAATATATCATAGGAAATGAGTCGCTATCAGAGGAGAGAGAGAGAGAGAGAGAGAGAGAGAGAGAGAGAGAGAGNAGAGAGAGAGAGAGAGAGAGAGAGAGAGAGAGAGAGAGAGAGAGAGAGAGAGCTCGTTGAAGGGAGCGTTCGCTCAATAGATTTCATGCCTTAAATTGATATTTTATTTGTTGTACACAATCTCCTCACTTATATGCCTCTCTCTCTCTCTCTCTCTCTCTCTCTCTCTCTCTATCTCCCCTCTGTTTCTCTTGTCTTAATATAATCGCCGAAACGATTATTAAGCCCTAAAACGTCTGAAAACGAAAATCGATTTATTCTTTAAATTTTAATTTTTAAACATTTGATTAAAATTGTTTTTTGGTCTCTAAAGAGAGATGTCTTATATATAGAAATCCTTCCATTTGTATAAAAGGGATGAAAATTTACTGCAGAATCAGAATATTCTTGCGTTTGTAATGCGATTTCACAGCATATGTAACACTTCTGTCAAACATGCGATTAGTTTTGCACATAATATATATAAATAGTTGTAAAAATCAATATTTACTGAATTCCTGCGTTTCTCTTACTATATATTTAATATGATTTTTAATCTTTAGTGCAGAACAAAGCCATTAATGTTTTTGTTGAAAATATGGTTTTCTTTTTTGTTTTCTTATTATATATAATATATATTTTCTAAATGCACTCAACGATCGATAACATCCCTAAACATCAATTCAGGCGAACATTATTTGAAACCACATTTACCTCTAGAAAAGTCGACGTTATATTTAAAGGTTAAATACAGTTATAAATCAATAAAAAATCTCAGCCTCTCGTTAGGGATATATCTGTTTGTGCGGAACGGGTGGCGAAGGTTTAGTGCACTTGTGTTTTATATATTCAATGAGAGAGAGAGAACTCATTCAAAATCAATTGAACCAAAAAAGGGAAACAAATAAAAAACGATTTAAAACTGAGTTTACATTTAAAAAGCTATTTGTATTGAAGAACTTGTTTTGATTCGTAAATTAAGATCAATTGATAGTCAAAAGAAAATGCAAAAGAATTGCAAAGAAAACCAATTTTATTCTTATGTCACAAAAACAATTGATTTGCCATTTATTAGACTAAACCGGGAGCTGTCTTCGGGCGCGTGGTGTCCGTCCAGACAACTGACTGCACCCCTTTCGGGCACCGAATGGATTCAAGTGAACTTTCGGGACCAGTATGTGGTCACCGGAATCGCAATTCAGGGCCGGTTTGGCAATGGAGTGGGCGTTGAATACGTGGAGGGCTTTTGGATTGAATATTCACGCGATAACGGAAGCACTTGGCATAAGTGGACCGATCAGAATGGGGATCATGTATGCTATGGACTAATCATACGGACCCTTAAGATATTGATTGCTTGTTTTTGTCAATCATTTATTTATTAGAAACTTTCCGGAAATACTGATACATATACTGTGGTAACTCATGAGTTATCGCATCCATTGGTTGGCATTAATCTGATCCGAATCGTGCCCTTTGCCAGCCATCAGAGGACTACTTGTCTTCGACTGGAAGTGTTTGGTTGCAAACAAAGATACCTTCCGGTCATGTATTCAATGCCAGACGGATATGAAAGCGATAGGTTTGGAGATTTGGTTGACATGACATATGACGGCCGTCAGGACGCGCACAGGTATCTGTCCGGAGGCGTCGGACAGTTGATTGATGGCATCAAAGGTGACGACAACTATAAGGTTAATAAGGGATACGAATGGATCGGATGGAAGTCTGACGGCGAGCCCAACAGTTCCGTACAAATCATTTTCCAATTCCCGAAGACTGAGAACTTCACGTCCGGTGTCTTTCATTGCCATAATATTTACTCGCAAGACATGGAAGTGTTCTCTTCGGCCAAAGTGTGGTTCAGTTTTGACGGCAAGTATTGGTCCAAAAAACCCGTAGAGTTCTCATATATGGCCGACAATGTGATCGAGAAGGCCAGGGATGTAGTCATACATCTTCATCACAGAATCGGACGGTTTGTTAAGTTTGAGCTAAAGTTTGCGAAGAAGTGGATCCTTATAAGCGAAGTGTCGTTCAAACTAACGAGAATTGACATTAATTTTACCGAAAATTACGCTCATTTGGATTATGTGCCGCCCATTACTCCCATCACAACCGCCGCCATAAATAGCAACAGATCTCTGATCAGCGAATCACTGGTTTTGATCTCTTTTGGTGTCATATTTACCATCATTTTCACCGCTAGTATTGTTTTGCTTCGTTTCCATATGAAGAGGAAGGATAAGACGGGACATATGGGTCACGAAGTTTCCCATTCAATAAAGGTTTGATATAATCTGCGATTAATTATTGCAAATCAATTAATACTAATCATTTCATTTGCCTTAGGATTTGGCCACTTCTCCGCTGTATTGCGAGCCGAAGGACTTCAGTCCATCCCGTAGTTCATCGCTCAATGACCCGGAATATGCGGTCCCAGACGTAGCCCTCACTAACCCTAACATTACGTATATAACAAACAATCAAAAGGCAACCACACTATCCATACCGTCGGCAAAGAGTACACCGAAACACTTGATTGAGAATCCATTCGTCGGACACCAGAAGTATTACGCGTCCACTGATATCATTAAATCGCCGAAGACTTTGGGAAATAATAATTGCGTTAAACGAAAGTTTGGTAACGAAGACACCAATGGATCGGCGTTTAAGTACAGCAATGGTGTGAACGACTCGATCATTGATCTGAAGTGCATTCCGCAGATCAGCGAAGAGGAGATCCAATTGATTCGTTCGCCTTTTGGTGAATCGAAATTCGGCGAAATATCGATCGGAAAATATAAATACAAGATTAGATCCCAATGTGAGGAACCGGTGGTCGACGAGACACTTGTCGTGTTGAAGGCGTTGAGGAACGAGAAGCTGAGGAATGAGTTTTTAAATTCGGCGAAATATCGATCGGAAAATACAAATACAAGATTAGATCCCAATGTGAGGAACCGGTGGTCGACGAGACACTTGTCGTGTTGAAGGCGTTGAGGAACGAGAAGCTGAGGAATGAGTTTTACCACGAAATGAAGTCTAAATGGTTTATATCAGCCAAAAGCGAACGAATCGCTAAACTCTTTGGCTTTGTCTCAACCGACAATTGCAAAGCAATGGTTCTGGAGGTCGGAGACTGTGATCTCAAACACTTTGTTCAAAACTGTGATACCAATCAAATCGGGTTTGTATTCACACACTTAATATTAATTTGAGATAATAATCTAATTGTCTGTTTCTTGTTTGCCAACAGTTATTCAACACTGATATACATCGCCAGCGAAGTGGCGTCGGGTATGAAATACTTGGAAACGTTAGGCTATGTTCACAAAGACATAGCGGCCAGAAATATAATGGTCTACACCACGAATCTGGTCATCAAAATCGGCGATTCCGGCTCTTATGATACGCTTAACCAAAGCGATTACGTGAACGGTTTGGCCATCCGGTGGACGAGTCCTGAGGCCCTCATTCACGGCCAGTTCACTACCAAATCCGATGTCTATTCGTTTGGTGTCATGTTTTGGGAGATCCTTACCTACTGTTCACTAAAGCCTTTCCATAATCTGGACGACCAGTCCTTCCTGAAGGCTGTCGTCGCTATTTATGAACAAATTTCTAATATTGTAAGACATTTATCATTATTTTATAAGTGTTTTGAGACTTATGTTACGATCTGTTTAATCACTAGGAGTGCACTTATAAAGACATTTATTACCATCCATTCACTGATGACAACAATCATCGCATTCTGTCTCAGCCGAGACCCGATGGCTGTCCCGAAGAGATCTACGATCTGATGCTCGACTGCTGGCAAACCAGTGACAGCTCGCGGCCAACGTTTCGCGAGATATCGCTGTTTCTGAACCGCAAAACACTTGGTTTCCAGAAACCGATCATAATTTAAATGAACACTGAATTGAATTCATTAATACAATGGCTCTCTATTTGCTGTAATATTCATAATAATAATAATGTAAAACATCACACATTTGGCTCATTTGTATCTCAATTCCCAATTGCCTTATGATTATGACCACTGAATTACAAGAATCCCTTATTCAGAGACAACGGTTCACAGATCTGACTATTAATTAGATTAGCATTCATTTGCAAAGTCATAGAATCGCGAACTAAATAAACCAAACAAATGAATGAATACTCTGTTATATTCAACAAAGTTTTTTCTCTTCAATCAAATCCAGAATTTGTAAATATATATGAATTTAATGTAAATAATAAACTATTGAATGGAAAGACAATCTAATCTCTGCAGCAAAAAAAGTCTATACAAAAGATGTGTTGTTTTGCACCGAAAATAATAATTATAATAATTAAATAAAAACTCATTATTAATATTTCTAATGAAAACTTTTGATACGATATATAAATTTGACGGCAAATTAATTATAATTTTTTGTAATAAATAGTTTAAATATATAATTCCTAAGCATATGTACAAAATGTGTATAAAATTAAAATAAATATTAAAACACTAAATGAATTTTATATTAAACTGTGTTTAAATTATTTGTAATTACTAATTACTCAGATTGAATTTCAATATAAGTCACCGGTATTTGAGTTTTCAATGTTAAGAATTTGCATAATCTTAGGTTCAGTCATATTCTGGGAATGTTTCAAACTATAAATTTTCCTCAACTCTGTTTGTATAGCAAAAAGTGTTTTATTTTAAATTAAAAATAAATGCTTTTTTAGGTTCAGTCATATTCTGGAAATGTTTTGAACCCAAAATTTTCCACAACTTTGAATGTATGGCAAAAAGTGTTTTATTTTAAACAAAAAATAAATGCATTTTTAAGTTCAGTCATATTCTGGAAATGTTTTGAACCCTAAATTTTCCACAACTTTGAATGTATGGTAAAATTATTGCTTATTTTAAGTTTAATCTTTAGTCATATTCTGGAAATATTTTTGACCGTAAATTTTACTTAATTTTATCTACAAGAAAGTGTGAATGTTATATTATTAGCTGTTTCACATTTTGATTATATATTTTGATATGTTTTATTATTTGATATAAATCATTTAAAAATAATTTTAATTTTATTAATTTACTTAAAAATTTATTAATTATATAAAATAGTAAAAATGTAAAAAGAAAATTATCAAATTATGCATAATTATACGTATCTAACAGTAATTATATACAAATTGTAATTGATTTTCATTTAATATAATTTTATTATTAATACATTATATACGCCAATAATTTTCGGTGATTTCCAAAGGATTGTTATATCCACACAAGATCTCATTATTATAATCCGCAAAAATTACGTATTTATAAAATTATAAATTAATGCTAAAAAGTTGTAAAAACAAACTATCTACGTAGATAGCTTGTTTTTAGCATTAATTTATAAGTTTATAAATACGTAATTTTTGCGGATTATAATAATGAGATCTTGTGTGGTTATATCAAATAAAACTAAAATCTAATTTCTAAAACAAAATTAAAGTTTAATGTTTTGAAATGAGTTATGAATACAACCGAAAGAGTGTCGCTCTCTCTGAACCACAACTTGTATCTCAAACTGTAAGCACTTTTTGTCAGAGATATTCACAATGAGATTGAAATGAAGAGTTCTTTACAGCGGAACAGATGTGACACCAATAGAATCGACAGAACTGTTGACCAGAAAATTCTTCATTAGATTTATGCCCAAAAACCCAAACAATTATAACAATTGAACGTTTGATTCGCAGCTATAATAATAATACAGAGATATTCGTTAAATAGTATTAAATACGAGTGAAAAAACTAATTACATTATGATTGAGAGCTGAGTTGTGTGTGAATTCACAGCCAAACCCCTATCGCCTCTCATATCCCATAATATTGTTGTTTTGTGTCCGCATTTCGCACACAAATAGACATATATTTAATCCGTTTTTGTCCCGCGTTTTCAATTGAAGGGATGAAAGGAGTACTGAATGTCAAGTCTATTAGAAAATGTTTGATCCACTCGTAAGCCGTTTGAATGTAGTGTCGGGTGTGAGAGAACCGGTCGTCTGTAAGACCAGGGCTTGTATTCGTCATATTTTGTGCGGATATTTAGCGGAAATGTGTGTTTCAATAGGAAATTCATAAGGAATCCTAGAAATTTCTCCAAAAACCTATAATTCATATTTTTGGTGAAAAATATGGTTTAGTATTTTGTTGTCTAAAATTCAATGTCAACTCTAATGCTTAAGAAACGAATGGAAAAATAATGAGAATAAGTCTACTGAATATATTTTTATGTATAATATTTGGTAATAAAAACACATTTTATCTCAAATTTTATAATAGAGATTATTATTATTATTTTTTTGATAAAGAATTGGTGTTGTGTTGTGTCTGCAAAATAGGGGAGATTGAAGGAGAGAGAGAGAGAGAGAGAGAGAGAGAGAATACAAATTATTTTCTGCAGTGTTTGTAATACTAATTAATTTTGACTCATCTTTTATATGTCTCCGATTCAATGGCTTAACAATAAAAGTGTGGTTTAAATTATTCATTTATTTCTTATCGTTTACGTCAAACATATCACAGAAATTATACAAATATATCACTCAAACGAAGAGGAAATTGAGAGAGAGAGAGAGAGAGAGAGAGAATATGGATCAGTATTTGTAGGCAAATAGTATTAGGAGTTTTAGAGGTAATGCAAACTCTTCGGGGAATAAGTGGTGTAACAGACAATGCATTTCGCGAAGCAATGCATCATTTGGTTGTCGGTCTCTAACAATAAGATATAACTAAATAGTTTTGATAGAGTTTTCCATAACATTACTGCCATTACATTAGCGGCAAAAATATTGTGTTAAGTCTAACACATGGAGTCCTAACAGAATCTAACAGAATATACAGTATATATGCCTACCATTTAAACCACACTTTTATTGTTAAGCCATTGAATCGGAGACATATAAAAGATGAGTCAAAATTAATTAGTATTACAAACACTGCAAAAAATAATTTGTATTCTCTCTCTCTCTCTCTCTCTCTCTCAATTTCCTCTTCGTTTGAGTGATATATTTGTATAATTTCTGTGATATGTTTGACGTAAACGATAAGAAATAAATGAATGAATGGATGGATGAGAGAGAATATTATAAACATTAAAACTAAAGCAAGAGTTTTATATTTCTGAAGAAGTATTGTTAGCAATAAGAAGAATGATATGATTGTTGTGAAGATGTTTGTCAAGAGTTTATTGAAGCGAATCCCTATCCCTTGTCATCACAACTCTGTTATGTTTGACATCACATCAAGACTTGAAAAACAATGTATGAAATTGTGAACTCATATGACATTAGATGGGGAAACAAGAGAAGAGAAAAGGAGAGAGAGAGAGAGAGAGAGAGAGAGAGAGAGAGAGCTTTAAAAGCGATTTGTTAGAAGATATCTAAAACTCAAAGCGTATGCCATAACAAGAGTTGTCTAATCCCTTACAAAACCGGTAGAATATTGTATATGTATTCTGTTTAACATTAGTTAATGTTATACAACACAAGCCATGGATTCAATAGACGTTGAAAGTAAAACAAAACCCTAAAACTCAAAAATGCATTTTTCGTAATCCGAGTTAAGCCTCACTTCTTTGCGATCGACATTACGAACGAATTCAAGTATTATTGCGAGAGAGAGAGAGAGAGCGAGAGAGAGAGTACAAATTATTTTCTGCAGTGTTTGTAATACTAATTAATTTTGACTCATCTTTCGTTGTCAAATATCCCAAACATTTTACTTATGAAAACAATTATCTTTTCGTTTAAAAGAATTATTTCTTATGCAAAAGTAGAGAGCGAGAGAGAGAGAGAGAGAGAGAGAGAGAGAGAGATCGACCGATTCTTCTCATAATAAAAGTAAACAAATAGATAATTGAATGGAAAGGAAAGGCAGAAATAATTGTGTTTATACAGTGCTATAGAGTGTGAAGATTGGAGACTGAATTTGTAAACCAATTCAACATATTTTATGGCAATGTTTTGTACCAAAAAAGTAAATCCAATGCTTTTTCTGATGATTACAATGTCTTTTACTTGTGATATACTTTATGCTTAAAGAAAACACCATTTCTTATGTTATTCTTACGAGACATCAAAATGTTTTTTGTAGTAATCCTATGAAAACTTACGCACATTTATAGCAACAAAAATATAATTAAAAATAAGTTTAACATTTTTGTGTTTCGCTGTTATTGTTGTGAACAAAAAATCCTAAACACATTTCTTATCAAAATATATGTTGAGTTCAAAGAACTGTGAATAAAATTTTTTAACACAGATTTCATACACGAAAACCCGGGCAACTGTTTTGCGAGAGAGAGAGAGAGAGAGAGAGAGAGAGAGGTGAATGAAACAATGATTTACCTTTTTGAAAGTAAAGTGTAGCACAGGCTCCGGTCAGACCCAATGACATGAATATAGCGAATAAAATCCAGACAGAGTTCGGGGGCTCTATTGAGTCGATATATGGCGAGAGAAGATATATCACAATAAGTGTGGCGCACGTGAAGATGAGCCCCAAATGAAAGCCCAGCATAAATAGGCCGACGTATACGACTAGTACAGTGATGAGACCGAACAGCAGTCCGGCCACTAACGAGACGCTGACATTGCCGTAAACGGGCAACAGATTCTCGGCCGTACAGATCATGTAGATAATTGTGGTGCCGAACGCGAAACCGGTCAAAAACATGATCGCTTTGAAGCACCGGTAGCCGTATAGGAGGTATACGATGCCCAACACGATTAGTGTCGAGCAAATGACTGATTGGATGAGCTCGTAATCGTCGGGCGTCGAGTAACACCTGTCGTCGAGCGGCACTATTGTCTCAATCGTGCCGAGCATTGGCGTCACATTTTTGGCCAATTCGTCGCCGGCAGTGATGACCGACTCTGTGGTGGTGGATGTGCTCGGTATTGATATGTATGACATGGTTGTGTTGATAGTGGCAGTGCTATTGGACTGAGCGGTGATAATGGATGTGTTTGTGACAAATGATGTGATATTTGTTTGTCGTGTATTAGTGTATGAAGTGTTTGGCAAAAGTGTATCCATTCGAGTGTTTACAGCGCTTATCGTCCCGTTTGTCATCTTATTATTGACCAGATGTTCATCAGTTCATCAGTGGTTTCGGTGACTCTTCCCTATGTCTTGACGACACTTTTGAGTGCTTCACTGATAACTGTGTTTTGTTTGATTCATTGGTGGCTCGAGTTTTTGATCATTTTATTAGGCATTTCTAGTGATTCTT